AGAGAGAAGGAAAAGGAGGGAAAGTGAGAAATCGCCCCCTGGGGGGGATGGCCATGCTACAATTCCTTCTTCTCTCAGGGTTTTGGCCAAGTATGCACGTCCCATCCGTCTGCCTCTCTGACTCACAGAGGAAATAAAAATGAGAGAGAGAAAAGAAGACCACTTATGGGCTACCATGTCATGTACCTTGGAGAATATTCCAGTATTCCACATATGCTGCTATGACTGGGTAGTGTTCTGTATGTGTCTGTAGGTCTAACCGGCTGCCAGTGTAGTTCAAGTCCTCCACCCGATCACATCTGGGTCTCCTGGCCTAGACATAGACATATTAGTATCTCTAACGAAAGTTTACGTCTGCCACTATTACCATACGACTGCCTGTTTCTCACTCAGTTCTGCCATCTTTGCTTCATCTGTTCTGGGATTGTTAAGTATGTGTATGCTTGTCACTGTTATATAGTCTGGTTGTACTGAACCAGTTACCAGCACATCATAGTCTTCCTTATCTCGTCATCTTTTTTATTTAAACTCGCATTGTCTGATGATAATACGCTGACTCCAGCTCCCTTTTGGTTACTATTTGCATGAAGTATCTTTTCCACCCTTTTACTTTCAGCCACTGTGTGTGTGTGTCTTTTTATTTGTTTGTTTAGTGTGCTATAGGCGGCTGGACCCACAGCTCACTGCCTAGTTCCAGTCCTGGACCTGGTAGCCTGAAAAACTTGCTGGGTACGTGTGCGCGCACATGCGTGTCCAAAGTCCTAAGAGGAGAATGGACACGGGACTGCAGTGTGGCTAACCTCCCTGGGGATGCACTCTCCCTCTCCCTCTCTCTGACTTGCCCTGGTGAGCGCGCACACCCTGTGGCAGAAGAAAGAGGCCGGGCCTCTCTCACCCTTCAGGAGGCGCGGCATGCCTCCTCGTGACCCCCCGTCCCCTCCACGTTAAAACTCAGCTCTCTCTCTGTGAGCAGCAGCTGGCGGCGGCACAAGGCACCAGGACTCCCCACGACTGTCACCTGCACACAGGCAGTCCGGTTGGCCTGGCACCCAGGTCCTCTTCCCTGACCACACGGCACACCCCATCCTGGGCGGGTCCGGAGCCACAGCTCCAGCTGCTCCTGGGCTAGGACCTAGGGTCCCTACAGTCAGACCCCTAGGACAGCATGTCAAGGGCCGGCCTCGGTGCTATCCGCAACATGTTTCATCAGTTTCCCAGAGGCCACAGCAGTCTCGCGACCAGGCCGGGCAGGAAGGGCAGTAACCAGAGCCCGCTTGCCAGCCTCAGCACGAGCTCATCTGCCGCAGCGTCCTCGGCTCCCAGTCGCGGGAACCCGAAGCCTCACCAAGTGCTCAGCGGGCCTCAGTGCTGCTCGCAGGCAGCCTACCTGCCCGGCACACATGCCCCAGTTCTCCAGCCTGAGGGAGACAGCTCGTCTCTAACTGTCACCAATCCCCGTCCTTCTAGTCCTCCCTGTTCCCTTCCCAGGGTGACCTGGGTGGGGGGTCGGGTGAGCAGACGTATTCCCGCAGCTCAGATGGCTGTAGATCTGAGTGGGGACATCAGGCGCAGCTGTCCCTCAACTGAACAAGTCTCTCAGCCCCGGAAAGTGACGGGGAGCGACCGTGGCAGACGCAGGGCTCTTGTCCACACTACGGTCTCTGTAGGCAAACTCGGCTCTGGCAGGAGGAGCAGCCCTGGGGTAGAGGAGGAGCTTCCGGGAGGAGGACGAGCAGTGAGGCATGTCCCTGGGACCTGCCAGCAAGTCCCAGAGTCTGTGCCTGCTCTGCTCTAAACGTTACCTTCGGAGACCTAAGAAGCTTCATCTAGCCTGGGACAATTTTTTCCTAGGCCAATCGGATTTTAAGTAAAACACTAAAAACACGTCAAGATCACGTTGACAGGCCCAGCTGTGGTGCTGCAGGTAGGAGGGCACTGCTGCACGACACCGAAGTCACACAGAAAGCCAGAGCTCGAACCCTGGGTCCACCCCAACGGGCCACACATGCCCACGATAGCTGGCTGGCTGGCTGCAGGAGGGCCGTGGCATGGCAAGACCCACCGTGGTCTCACTCACTCTTAATAAGCTTAAGAAAACGTTTCTCACGTGCTGAAGATGCCATGACAGAAGAGGGACACCCGACTCCTCGAGATGAGTGGGGTCGGCTCAGGGCCCTTCGGCCCCGGGTGGAGTGGAGGCCGTGCAGGCTGTGGTCTGCCACACGCACCTCCAGCTGTAGTTGTCTCTCGGCCCAGCCACAGTTCATCATCGCTAAGAGAACTGGGGAGTAACGACCATCTGGAAGGGGGTCAGGACCAAACGGAAGACCTCGCGTGACAGCGCTGAGGACGCACGGAGCTGGGGACCCGGAAGGACTGGACTCCCTCCTCCTACCCAGCCTACGCTCAGCCTCGTCCACCCCTTTTTCGGGTGTGAGTGCACTCGGGGACAGGAGGTGGACATCTGTGCGGCTCAACTGCATCTGGGCTGCTGTCTTTTCAAACATCATTTATTTCATTTTATTCATTATTATGCTTCGATTGGACCAGAGAGAAAAACAGCGGGAGAGTGAGAAAGCCAGCCACCAGGTCCTGGACTATGACCACGGTAGGCCGTGTGGGAGCCACCTACTGGCCCCTGAGCTGTTATCTTTAACACTGCCCACCCCAGCCCTCCCTCCCATCCTCGGCCACTCCACGTCAGCGGTGTCCTCCACACTTGAGACCTTGGCCAGCTCAGACGTTTACATGCCAGAGGCCCCCATGTCCCTGACCCAAGGACGGCCTATTCTGAAACACTGCTGTGGTATCAAATTCACAGCTAGGCCCTGAGGGCCCCGAGCAGCTGCGGCACACGCCCTGCGCGCCCTGCCCTGGGAGCCGCCTGGCCCCAGCCGGCTACATGGACCCCAGGAGACAGACGGCAAAGAGGGAGCACTCTTCCCCTCTCTTATAGCTAAAGCCGGCTTGGTGAAAAAGGAAGAGTGACGGCTGCCTCTTTAACGTAATTCCCGCCACAGAAAGCAATGCCAGGGATGGGCCAGCCGGTGGCGTGGTCGCTAAGACTTTGGATCCCACGTGGCCAGCTCTGTGGTGCGTGTGTGTCTGTGCTCACAATCCAGAGGGGTGAATGAAGAAAGGGCTGTGGTATGGCCATTTCCCGGGGAAGTGATCTCCCTCTCTCACCCCTGAGAACACACATGCACCATAGCAAAAAAAAGAAAACGGCAACAGCAGTGATAATGACAACCGGGACTGCCACCACACTGCTGCAGAGTGAGCGAGGGGACAGTGGGGAGGTGCAGCAGCGCCCAGCACACTCGCGAGGACATGGCCTGGTGCTTCCCGGCACGGGGTCCCGGGACCGGGGCTTGTACAGAGGCCAGTCCTCAGGCCCACTCCAGACCCGCCAAGTCGGAAACTGGGGAGAGCTCCAGCAGCCTACGTTCACATGTGCCCTCCTGATTCATGCACTGGGGTCTGGGAGCCACTGTCTTGGCATGTCGGCCAGACCCCGATGGGATCACTTCAAGAGAAAGGGAGAGGTCAGTCAGCGAGCAGGAAAACTCGGGCGCTGGGCATGGTCTGAATGTGTCCCTCAAGGTTCACGGGCTGGAGCCTCAGTCCCTGGGGCGACAGTGCTGAGAGTGGCCAGGCCACGAGGCTCTGCCCTCGAGGATGGGCTCATGCTGGCATCCCGGCACCGGTCCCCTGTGAAAGGAGGCGCCTGGCCCTCTCCCCTCTCACACACAAGCTCTTCTCCATGCTCTGCTGCAGCAAGAGGCTCACGACATTGGTCCCTTGATGGTGGACTCCCCAGTCTCCAAAACCAAAAGCCAAATAAACCTCTGCTGTTCGTCAGTCACCCCGTTAGAGCAGCACGAGACGCAGCAAGGCCAGTGGGCTCTTAGAGCACCTCCACCGGCCTGCACGGGGCAGCTCCGAGTCTTACCCCATGCAATGCCACTGAGAACAGGTTCGGCGCCAGGTCAAACACACCAGCCCAGAGCGTGGACAGACGGGTGACAGGGCCTCGGGGCCTGCGTGCGGACCTCTCTTTGCCTACTGATCAGCTGTGCGGATCAGGCGGCTCGAAGCCCTCAACTCCTTTTGTTAACTGGATACATAACGGGACCACTTCCCAAGGTACTGCGAGGACTGACGAGACATTTAATTATTTGCCTAAGTCACCAACACAGCAGGAAAGTCTTGATAAATGATATTCCTCTTGCTTATCACAAATTAGGGAAGAGGTTAGGGTCCTTAACGACTGGACTGACCGGAGGGCCACACCTGGGCCAAGCCCCTCCGGCTAAGCACTGAGACACCCATCAATGCTAGCTGTACCGTGAAGCCGGACACCAGAATGCTTTCTAGAGAAAAGGATGAGAAGGTGAGCTCCCTTCACGGCTGTCAGTGTTTCAGAGCCGAAGGGACATCAGATGCCTCCTACCGGGCCCCTCTTCACACAATGCCATCAGCCAGTCTAGGGGCTCCCACGGCTCCCCATGGCAGCTCTGGCTCACGGGGTCCCTGGTGAGCACAGCAGGCTCCAAAAATCAACCAGAGGGCGGGAGGGGCTCTGCGGGAACATGAGCAAGGACTTCAGGAGCAGGGCCACAGGTCAGAGCCAGCCCACAAGAGGACGTCCAGGTGGACTTCGGCTGGCAGCACCAGGCCCGGCCAGTCCAAGGTGCTAAAAGGAAACTGCCCCAGAGGAGGTGGAAAGTGCGCGCCTTCCAACCGCTTCAGGGTGTGGACGTGTCAGAGCGTCATTTCGCGACAGAGGACCAGTGACGTGGATAGATCTGGCCGATCGGGACAGCCTGGACTATTTCGGTTTCTCAGCCTGACCGCTGGAGCCAGAGAGCTCCAGTCCCAGCACCAACGAGCCGGTTCCCGTGTGCAACAGCACGCGTGTCTAAGGGCTGCGAGGCGGACAGGGCGAGGGGACGTGCCCCAGCCCCGGCCCGCCAAGCCCAGGACGGCCCGGAACGTACCAGCAGGCTAAGATGCAGAGCCCTGTGAAGAGGATGATGGGGATGGGGTAGGACGCGCAGAGCAGCCCATGGTTGTAGAAGGCTCGCGATATCTTCTCACGCAGCCTTTCAGTCAGGGTCATCCTCAGCTGAAGTCACCTTGCTGCCATCCCGGAAAGTGACCATGGATCAGCCTGGCACTCGGTGGGCAGCACCGACAGTGGCCACCATCTGCAGGTACCTGGTCGGAGGGAGAAAAGCCGGTTAACACACAGTACTGGGCTCTGCTGGGGCGGGGCAGGCGTGTGGCCAGGAAGGGCTCCAGGTGCCTCTGCGTGAGGTCCAGAGCCGTCCTTCACGACATGCACGAAACCGTGGTCACCTCTCCGAGTCACCGGGGGCTGCTCGCTGAGCAGTAGCCAAACCAGCCAAAACCAGTCTAAACGCTCTGCAGGAGGCTGCCACACGTCACACAGGAAAACACGCCTGCGTCACGAACATCACCTCCAGCTGCCCTCTGCCAATGGGTGCCCTGCACACCCTCCCCACCCTCCCCGTGCACAGGCCAGACTGAGAGAAATCCTTGGAAAAGCCTTCACACGGGAATGCTCTCCCGACTCCCCCCAAGACCCAATTCCTGCTCCGTGACTCACTGGTCAGGACTGCTGGCCCCTACAGGAAGGCACCAGAGTCAAGGCAGAGCCTCCTGCGGCAGCGCTGGCCCCTTGGCCCTGCAGTCCCTGGGGCCCCAGGGCACAGCCCCTCCTGCCGCTGCCTGCTCCGCAGCTGCCCCTTCTCTGAGTAACAAGAGTCCAGTATGGCTCAGAGAACGCAGCTCCCTCCACGGGACTTGCCAGGGTGGGCTGTCATTCAGGGGGCCCCTCCCTGACCCACACAGCAGCCACCAGCGGGTCGGCCCCCAGCCCGGACTTTGACCTCTGAGCAGTAAGAAGCAGGAACTGGCTGGTGGTGGAGCTTATTTACCCCAGCCAAGGCTCCGCTCCCAAGGTCCCGGGCTCCCAAGGACCCCGGGCCGTTCTGGCGCCCGTCCCTCCTGCAGACTGGCTCATCACCTTTCCTGTCCAGGCCGTAAGCCACCCCGTGTCCTTCCAGCAAGCCTCTTTCTGTGTGTGTGGCTCGTGCGAGCTTCTGCCACTTGTAAAGGTGACTTAGACCAATAAAGTCACAACAGAGCCCTCTGGGAGGAGACCTGGGCCCAGTCCCTTCCTCAGCATGCTCCCCAGGGAATCAGGTCTGCGTCCTTTGCTGCCCCACCTCGCTGTTCCCTTCCTGCGCTGGAATCTGCCTGGACTTGTGCCCTGGCTTGGTGAGACTCGCCGATGGAAATCCGGGCTGAAGAGATGATTCCTCCGAGGGGTAAGAGGAGCCAGGCCATAGCCAAGCCGCCCGCAGAAAGGAGCGGCCACCTCCCTCCGGCCCTGGCAAGCTCAAGCCTAAGTGCACTGAAGTTCTGTCCGGGCCCTTCTCAGGAAACAGAGAGCCCTCTGTTAATCCACTCGACAGGCAATGGCAGTGGGGTGGGTGGCAAGGGGGCCAATGCGAGCAAGACTGGTCAAGGAAGTCTGAAGCGTGGGCCTGCCACTGGGGCTGCCCACGGTGCCCACCGCCCAGCAGGAGCAGAACTGCCAATGAGCACGCACCTGCTCCTGGGCCGCCACCTTCCACTGGTCCCAGGAGGGAGACAAGCACCCCCGAGACACACACCGAAGAGACACCGTCCGCAGAGCCGTGAAGACCGAGGGCCACATCTCCCCAGACGTTCCCCAGGTCAGGGCCTCCACGAAGTCCTAACCCGACTAATCCCGGCCCCCTTCCCAGGCCTCTGCTATGAACACAGCAGCAACGCAGCAGAGAGGGTCTCACCTCTCATCTAGTCTCGCACTGGCAACATGAGAGGACTACCTAGCAGTCTCCATCCAGCAACTAGAACGTTCTGCCTTCCTTCAGTCTGCACTGGTTTTCACGGCACCTGGGAAACAGAAAGCACCCCCTCCCCATCTGTCCCACAGCCCACCTACCTGAGCCTCCCAAGAGGGGATGCTGCTCACCTCTCCTCCACTGTAGGCTCAGACGCAAAGCTAGTCCGAAGCCACATTTACCCAACTCCAACCAAAAACCTGTTTCTCTTATGTTGCCTCACACCTACGGGTTGCTTCAGCTCCTAATCTGCTCTGCTTCCTGACCGTAATGACACGGCCTTGCCCCGGAGGCCCTGGAGGCCTGAGGTGGCCCCTGCACACAGCTGTCCTGGCGCTGCCTGGGAGACCCCACTGCCAGCACCCAGGAAGGAGAACCCGAACTGCAGAGTGGCGCATGGACAGAGTGGCGGCTGCGGGAACCGGGCCAGGGGAACACCCCCGGTAGCGACCAAGAGGACGAGCCCAGAGCACACCCGGCTAGGAGACCAGGGGCCGAGGCGGCCGAGCGAGTGAGGGCAGCCGGAGGCAGTGCCGCATGCCTGGCCAGGCAGCGCCGTGACTCTGAATCACCCGAGTCAGATAATAAACGTGCAAGTGTGAAGGCCTGGGTTTGTTTCCTGGTCTGCGCCCAAGGCCAGGCGTGGCGGCACACACCTGCGATCCCAGAAACCAGGGAGGCTGAGGCAGGACTGGCAGCTCGGGGCTGGGCAACACGGCGGGCAAGACGGCATCTGAAAGGGCCGGCGGGGAGGGGTGCGCCTGCAGTCCCCCTGCGAGCTGGGGGTGCCACAGTGAGGCTGTCGGCAAAAAACATCCGTACAGACAATACCAACGTGAGACCAGGGTCAAAAAACCCAGGATGGCCTATCTCTCTTGTGCCTACGTTCACCAAGCTCAGCATGACGACTGTTTTCGGCCAATCCACACACGCTCAGAGTCAACCAGGGAAAAGGAATGAGCTCAAGGCCGAGGAAGGGGACGAGAAGACGGGACGGGACGGGACGGGACGGGCGGCAGAGGGCCGGCCCGAAGCTCCTCCCGCACTCCTCGGGGCTCACTGCTACACGTGTAGCCGCCGGGCTGTGCGGCGTGCTCACCTTTTCTAGGAAACCGCCGGATGTCCCCGAGTGCTCAGACCAGTTCACGCTCCCCGAAGCAGCAGGAGGACCTGAGGTCTGCGCACCCTCCCTAGCATCTGGCTGCCACCACCTGCTGTCCCAGCAACCGAGGCCTCACGGGGTCTTCCGCATTTCCCTAACAGCGATGCTGAGCACTTCCTGTGTTTACCACTGGTGCGTTCTCTCGTGAAATGTCAGTTCCTTTTGACCATTTCTCGTTGGATTTAGTTATTTATTTACAAGCCGAGCACTCCTGGGAAGTTCTGTTTGAACACCTGCTTTCAATTCTTTGGAATACATTGGTTCTCAGAAGTGGGATGGCTTGGTCATAAGGTAATGTTTTCTCACAAAATTTGTACGATTTTACCTTTGACTCTGTCATCTGGGGCCAGCAGGTGGTGTAGTGGTTAGGTTGCTAGACCCCCGCATAGCCAGCTGTGGCTTGGGTCCTGGATCCAGCGCATGAGTGCATGTGTGCATGCGTGCGTACCCAAGATCCCAGGAGAACGAGAAGGGAATGCAGGGTGCCCAGCCCCTCTGGGGTGATTTCTCACGTTCCCTCTCACTGTCTCTGTCTGTCTGTCTGTCTCTCCCAGGCGAGTGCATGCGCCCTATGGTAAAAAAAAAAAAAAAGCTGACATCTATCTGAGTTAAGTTTTGGATGAGGCATGAGGTTTACATACAGGTCCAGAAGCCAGACGGTGGCACAGTTGTTACGGTGCAGGACTGCACGTGGCCGACTGCACAGTCTGAGTTCTGGACCTGAAGGCTTGAAAAATATGCGGGGTTGGGACGAGCAGATGGCATAATGGTTACATTGCTGGACTCCCATATGGTCAAGCATGGTTTGAGTCCCAGACCCGGCCATGTGAAACTCACATCAGGCAAGTGTGCATGCATGCCCAAAATCCCGAAGAAAGTAGAGAAGGCACTGCGGCATGGTCACCCCCCGCCCAGGGATGGATTTCTCGCTTTCTGTCTCTCTCTCTGGCGAGCGCATGCACCCTGTGGCAAAAAAAAAAAAAAAAAATGCTGGGGGCCGGCAGGTGACATGATGGTTAAGGACGCTGGAGTCCCATATGGCCCACTGGTTGGAGTCTCAGACCTGGTGGCTTGCTTTCTCACTTTCCTTCTTTTTCTCTCTCTCTGATCAAACTGGAAAATAATAGTAATAACAACAAATAAAGTTAAACAAATAATTTTTTTAAAAATGCTGGGCGTGTGTGTGCGTACCCCAAATCCCAAAATAGGGAAGAAAGAGAGGAAAGGGATTGCAGTGTGATTGCTCCCATGTGGGAGGGGTGCTTTCCCAGCCCTCCCCTCAACCCTGCCCTGCTGTCTCCCTTTGAGCATGTGCCCTCTGGCAAAAACTTTAACATTTATTCATTTTAATTTGACCAGAGAGGGACAGAGTGAGACGGAGAGAGAGAAAGCAAGCCGCCAGGTCCAGGACTCCAACTCGAGTTGGCCGTATGGAAGTCCAGTGCCCTTAACCACCACACCGCCTGTTGGCTCCTCTAGCAAAATTTTAAAAATTAAAAAATAAAAGATGCAACCTTGGCCACAGCTCATTAACTGTCAAAAACAGGGGACAGACACACGGTGTTTTTATACCCTTCCACGTGTGACATTTTCCATAACAAAAATATTTTTAAAGTAATCTTACTAATATTAATGTTTCAAAAAAAAGATACTGCGAACATATGTCTCTGATATGTATATATTTTAAGAATTAGCCATACTTCCTTCTTTTCCTTTCTTCCTTCCTTCCTTCCTTTAAATTTGACCAGAGAGGGACAGTGAGAGAGAAAGAGAGAGTGGGAAAGTGAGAAAGGAAGCCACCAGCTCCGGGCCTCGAACCACAGTCAGCCCTGTGGGAGTTCAGCACCCTTAACCACCACACGACCCACTGGCCCCGTGTTTAGGATTTTTAGATATTAGGGTCTCAGACAGACCACCTCTCTTCCACCCCAGCCAGGCCCATGGACACGTGGACCGGTCTGAAAGGTCAACTACGAAAGCCACCCATGTCGGCCGATGCTGAAGACAGCTGGTAAGATTCAACCTTCCTCTTTTTAAAGTAAGAGACAAATGGGGACTAGTCAGGGTGTGGTGATTAAGGTGGCTGGATCCCACATGGCCAACTGCTTGTGTAAGATCTGGACCCGGCAGCTTGGAAAACACACCAGGCACATATGCATGTGTTCCCAAAATCCCGAGCAGAGAACAGAAGAGAACGGACTGTGATGTAGCTATTCCCTCTAGGGGGCGTTTCTCACTCCCTGCCCCACCCTGGCAAGAGCACGTGCCCTACTGCAAAACCTGAGTATGAATATTTACATGCCAATTTACATACTCATGTAAATACACACACACATCACATACATAAGACTTCAACTACATACTGACATCCTTCTCACCCCAAATCTGAAATCAAGCCCGACAGGAATGCACTAGAATTCCCACTCATGCTGGGGCCGAACAAGGCTGTGCACTTGTGCGCCACATTTACTGCCACCGTCGGGGGGGTTCGGCTGTCACACCCGGGAGGAGAAAGGGAACACAGGTAGTACCCAGCTGGAAAGGTGACATTCTACATCTAGAAAACCCAAGAGGATGGACTGAAAACCCTTCACGTCGAAGAACCACACAGGGTGTGGAGAAGGAACAGAGCCCGGCGCCTTCGCATAGCCCTCAACGAGCAGGCTGAAGGTATGATTCAACACGAAGGACGACACAAAGACGCGAGACTCCACTTAGCAAAACACTGCGAAATCTCCCACACCTGAGGGCCATGAGATTCGATGGCCCCACTGCAGGGGGCATGGGGTTCTGCAGACATGGGGTTCTGCAGCCTGGCATGCTGGGAGGCCCGGACTGGATTCCCACTGCAACCCAAAGGCCTGCAGGCCCCGGCTTTTTTTTTTTAGTGATTTTATGAATTGTGGGAAAATTTACATAACATAAAATTTATTACTTAACTGTTCTGGTTTGTTTTTTAATTTGCTATAGGGCACATACATTCAGGGGAAGGGAAAGTGAGAAAGCAACCCACCAGGTCAGGGCCTTGAACAACAGTCAGCCCTGTGGGAGTCCAGTGCTTCAACCGCCACGCCACCTGCTGGCCCCACAAGACTCTGTCTTTAAAAGAAGTCTGGTGGGAGCCAGTGACTGGCGTAAGGGTTAGGTTGCTGGACTCCCACAGTCGACTGATTCGAGTTCTGGGTCCAGGGGCTTAGAACTCATGCTGGCATGTACGTGTGCATGTCCAAAATCCCAGGAGGAGACGGGAGGAGGAAATGTGGTGTGGCCATCCCCCCGGGGTGATTTCGCGCTTTCTCTCTGGAGAATGCACATGCCCTATAGCAAAAATCTCTCTAAAATTAAAAAAAAAAAAAAGAAGGCTGGAAAAGGGACCAGCAGATGGCATACTGCTTACGTTGCAGGATTCCCGCATAGCCAACTGTGGCTCAAGTCCCGGACCTGGCAGCTTGAATCTCCGGCCAGGCACGTGTGCGTGCGTGCCCAAGATCCCAAGAAGAGAATGGAGGAGGACTGTGGTGTGGCCACCCCGGGAGGTGATTTCTCACGTTCTTCTCGCCGTCTCTCTCTGTCTCTCTGGTGAGCACACACACCCTATAGCAAAAATTTCTCAGAAAATAAAGAAAAGCGGCTGGAACACAGAGAAAGGCGTGCCGCGTCCTTGGTGAGGACGAGCCGACATCGCCACGCACCCCTCTTCCTGCACTAATCTAATGTAACACGGTGCTAACAGAACAGGATTTTTTTTGAAAATTAACTTATTTATTTTTTATATATCTTTTTTTTTTAACTAGACAAACTTATTTTCAAGGTCTTACAGTAAAACAGTATCTCTTCTTGAAAGTGGCTTTAAGTCATCTGTGAAAATGATTTCCTATTCACTTGAACCAAGAAATCCCACAAAATCCTGTGGGCCACGAGGGCTGAATCTTCACGTCCACTCTAAGAACACGTGAGACGGCCCAGGCCACCCAGCGTGTGCACTCCCGAAAGTCACCGAGTATCGGAAAGACTCCCTTTGAGGAAGCGATGCCCACCATTCTGTCATTACAACGGGGAGACGGTTATGTACCCAGGCCGTCAGTGTGGCTGGACACAGTGCGTGCATGCCCGGGATCCGGGGAGGAGAATGGAGAAGGGACTGCGGCGTGGCCATCCCCCCTGGGGGGTGATTTCGCGCTTTCTGTCTCTCTGTCTCTGTCTCTGTCTGGCGAGCTTATGCACCCTATAGCAAAAACCTCTCCAAAAAAGGAAAAAAAAAAAAAAACATGGAAATAGAAAAGAGATTGAATGTAAACAAAAACCTATTATATTAAAGAACCAGCACAAAGGTTTCCGGGCGAAGCTCGACTGAGAGCCCTTCGAAGTCCCATCTGTCCACTTCTCGGCGCACTGCACCGAAGCAAGCGCAAAGCCGAGATGCTGAGGACCCCCCCGGGAGCGCGGCCCCTCGCCAGCTCCCACGGCTTCCGCACAGGCAGCGCCAAGAGCAGCGAGAGGAGCGCTGAGACGACCGCGGAGACTGTCACGGCGTGGGGCTCTCCGAAGAAATGGTGTGTGTGTGAAATACTCCGTTCCTGGGGCTCCGGGTGCGGGAGCTAAGAAGTTCCACGGAACGCCGCCTTCCAGGAAGCAGCCATTACAGGAATCCATTAATACTATTTTTAAAAAGACTTAAAGGTTTAAAATAAGTACTTTAAGAAACTACGGGATGGGACCAGCAGATGGCGTAATGGTCACATCGTTGGACTCCCACGATGTTGACTGTGGTTCAAGTCCCAGACATGGCAGCCTAAAGTACATGCCAGGTACATGTGTGTGTGTGCCCAAGATCCTGAAAGGAGAACGGAGGAGAAGGAATTGTGGCATGGCCATCGATCCTGGGGGGTGATTTCTCTTTTTCTGTCTGTCTGGCAAGCGCAGGTGCCATATAGCAAAAAGCAAAGCAAAGCAAAGCAAAGCAAAGAAACAACCCAACTCTAAAACGAAACAAAACAAGAAACCACAGGACAGTTGTCCACAATCTGCAACCAGGGAATAGCTTTCTGTGTATGATGCAGAATGAAGAAGCCTCAAAAGTAAAGGCCAATAAATCAACTAAGAACCAGAAGTTTTTCATGAAAAACCAACCTAAGTAAAAAGATGACAACCTGCAAAAATACAAGTACAATTCATGCCCCTGCAAGTTGCTAAGTTCTCTCACATAGAAATGATGCTAACAAAATCAGTTAAAGCAAACAAAAGCAATAGAAAAATGGCCAAGAGATCTAGATGGCTTTTTCCACAGAAACGAAAAAGTAAACGGCCTTTTATCACAGCCAGATAGAAACAGGACTGTCCTGTGATAAGGAGTGAGAGATTCTACAACATTCCATTCCTCACTCACCTTTTCTGTGGGTTGAACCCAACAGTGTGGGGTATGAGATCCACGCAGAGAAACTACGTTGTCACCCATCAGATCGGAAGGATCAAGCGGCAGCAGCGTGGAGTGGGACAGCCGGGCACTGCCCCACCTGCTGAGGGCGGGGCAGGAAAACCACCGGTTTCCTCCGGTGAGTCAGGGAAGGTGCGAGCGGTGCCAGCCCCGCGGTCCTGCCCGGACTGCCCGGGGAGGGACCGGCAGACCATGAGGACTCCCCAGGGTTCCACCACGGAGCTGACTCAATGAGGGTGCAGCCTGCCCGGGGAGTGTGACACAGCTGAAAGGATGAGGCCGCTCGCGGATGACAATGAACCACAGAGGATCTGCCGTGGGCGCCAGGGGATGGCCGTGCTGATTCCCGGGGAGAGAAGTGCTCTGTGTCTCTGCAGGGCACACAACGCCCTGGACGACACGTGAGTGCCGCCTCGCTCTGGGGAGAGATCTGGGGGCCGGGCAGGACGGGGAGACGCCCCCACAGACTCCCCGTTGTACTTCTGACTTTCGGGTGTTCGTGGGCTGAAATGGACGAGCTTTCCCGTGAAAGCAGCAGCTCCCCCGAGCTCACTGTGCTGCCCCCTGCGCCCGCCGTCCTGCTGGCGCAGCTGCCCAGGCAGGTCGGAGTGGAAGCTCCGCGTCCCCGAGCACCCACACCTCGCTCTGGCGCTGCGCATCTCGCCGCGGGTGCAAGCTCATCGCCTCTCTGCGGAAACAGCTTTCCGAAAGTGTCTCACAAAGCGGCCGACGCTCAGGACAGGGAACTGTGACTCTAGGTATCAAAGTTAGCCAAGAGAGCTGGAAGCACGCTCAGCAGGCCACATGGACAGTGCTGACAAAAGAAAGGGATCGCAGTGAGCCAGGGCAGATGCGAGGGGACGTGACGCCGGGAGCGCATTCCAGAGGAGCGTGAGCAGTGCCACATCTTAGAACAAGCGTCTGAGGGCAGTGCCCGGCTGACAGCTGAGGGGAGACCAACTCACAGATAGGCCCTGAGCGGCCACACGCAGGACAGCGACCCTGCCCACAACCCGACACCAGCGAGGACGGAAATTCCGCACTGCCAGCCACCGACGTTCTCACCCTCCTTCAAGCCAGTCAGACGTGACCCTCGAGGGGACTGAACTGACTCAGCCCGGGATGACCAGAGCTGGTTCCCCAGCAACTCTCGACAAAATACTTGGTTTTAACCTATTTAAGAGTAATTGAAGGGGAAGTAGGTGGCATGGTGGTTAAAGGCACTGGACTCTCACATGCAAGACCATGGTTCAAGTCCCAGACCCTGACCAGCTTGCTTTCTCACTTTCCCTTTCTCTCTTTCTGTCTCTCTCTGGTCAAATTTTTAAAAATAATAATTAAAGTTGAATAATTCTTTTTAAAAAAAGAGTAAATCAACACTCAAATTTAAATTTTTACATAGTCAATGGCAAAGTACAGTTCACTATTTTGTGGCAAAAATATATTTAACGCAGGCTGGTTGTTAAGGGAGCTGGATCCCACATGGCCAACTAGAGTTTGAGCCCTGGCCTGGGAACCTGAGAGGAGAGCCAGCCGTGAGTGCATGCTCCAGATCCTGATGGGAAGGACAGGTGGAGAGGGGACTGCAGTGTGACCATGCCCCACTGGGAGTGCTCTCTCTCCTCTGTCTCTCACCGGGGAGCTCACGTGCCCTCTGACCATTTATGTGTGTCTGTGTACGTACACACACTTACGTGACTCATTCGTAAGTGCGCAGCTCACGGCATTTAAGGAAGTCACACTGCTCTACAACCATCCTTACTCCTCTTTTTCATCTCCTCCAACTATACCTGGTGCCTTAACTGGAAGTTTAATTTTTTATTTTAACTAGGAGCTCACTGTGTACTGTGTGTAGCCCCTAATGCCCTGTGTCCCTAGGCTGCATGCTCAGGCGGCCTTTCGCTCCAAGGACTGCCTGTCTGAGAAGGGCTGCGGACTCCTAAGGACACCACGTCCTGATTCTCCTGATGAAACACCATGGGAGGTTTTCTTGCCTTTTTCTCTTTTTTTTTAGGAGAGATTTTTTATACAGAGGGCGTGTACACTCGCCAGAAAGAGACACACACAGAAAGCCAGAAATCACCCTCCCCGGGGGGACGGCCACACTGCAACCCCCTCTCCATGTTCCTCTTGGGATTTTGGGCATGCGTGCACTCGTGTCTGGCGTGAGTTTTAAGCCACTGGATCTGGGACTTGACCCATGGTCAGCTACACGGGAGTCCATAATCATTACACCACCTGCTGGTCCAGGAAAGCACTTTTTTCCTCCAAGAATTATCTATTTTTAACTTTGTTTTTTTATTTTTTAATTCAGACAGAAAGACTGGGGAAGGGAGTGAGTGACAGTGCAAGACGCCAAGCCTGGGACTCAAACCATGGTGGGCCACGTGGGAGCCCAGCACCTAAACCACCAAGCCACCTGCCAGTTCCTCCTCTCAGCCCCTCCTCTCCAGCTTCCTCATCCCCC